TGAGTATTCTTGAACAGTTTGTTATGAAATTTTTCAGTTTATACTAAAGAATGTATCTTAATTGAAAAGACTGAAATTAGGCACTTGAAAGTTTTTATTAAAAATTTTAGAATTAGGGACTCCCCTGGAACAGCGGTTGGGCGCGGGGCTGAAAAGCTGCCAGCAGCCTCCACAGCCCTGGTTCCATCCCTGGCCGCCTGTGGCGAGGGTCCCACATGGCGCGACAGACCTCTCCTGCCGTGCCTGCTGCTCCCCTCAGCAGTGTATTTCGTCAGTCTGCCTGTTCTGTTCCCCACTCTGGTGAATTCTCTCACCCTCCCGCACTTCTGACTATACCCAGTGCTTGTATAAATACATAAATAAATCTTTAAAAAAAATTTTTTTAGAATTAAAAAAACATTTAAGTGAACACATTTGTCTTCAAAAGTACTAATATAAAGTCAAGAATCACAATAAAACTGATGGCATGCTTGAGCCTCCCTGGTGGTACAGGCGGTTGAGCACAGCGCTGTGAAGCTGTGCACGACCTCTGCAGTGCTGGTTCAATCCCCGCCGGCCTCGCAGCAACCCACATGGCGAGCAGACCTCTCCTGCCTCACCCGCTGCTCCCCTCAGCAGTGCATTTCGCCAGTCTGCCTATTCTGTTCCCCACTCTGTCTCTGGTGAATCTTCTCACCCTCCTGCGCATGTGGCCTCTATAAATAAAATAAATCTTAAAAAAAAAAAAAGATAGCATTCTTATACAATGAATGCCCAAATGCTAAATACAAACAAAAAATAACAAACCCACAAGTTTTTAGTCATACTTGCTCATGGTGTGAGTAAGTCAAGATGACATCTAACATGACAAGATGACATCATGGCATAAATCAAGATATATCAGGGATGCACATTTCATTATTAGACTTACGTAAATGCATGGACACTATTCAGAAGAGAAAATCTAGCAGTTTCAACTTTTTGTATCAATAGTTTCTTTGTACAGGGGTAAGGATAGTCATTTGTTTTGGGTTTTTGTCATTGTTTTCTTTGGTCTCTGGTGCCTATAATCACCTGATGGCTTCACTTTCAAGACAAAAGACTAACTTCTCTCAGATGTGATAAAAATGGTATAGTAGGTTTTTTCTTTAATGTTAGTTTTACTTAGTTCTAAATTAAAAACCACAGAGTAGTTAACACTGAACCATGACTTTGAAGCCACCTAGAAAGATATGCCCTGTGGCTAAATTTCATTTCCGGAGCAAGCCAGGCCAGTATTACCACCTGCATCTGTGCTTATTACTTCCTACCGTTAACTTCTGGAACAGAGCATTTGAGAGACAATCCTTTTCTGCTACTCAACCTTGATGTTTAGAAAAGTCTTAAGCATCAACTAATATTATATAATCCAGACTGAAAATGCTCTTTCACAGGAAACACTTCAGATTTTTTTTGCTGCTACCTGAAGCTTTAGGATCCATCCAATGCCTTTATTGTGTGTCACTGTGACAAAGTGGAATCCTGCTCATCTAAGGTATCATGTTAAGATACAGTTTCAAATTAGCCCAACAGAACTATTTTGCAAAGGTCTAAATTAAAAGTTAACATTCTTAAAGTCCCAATGAAAAAGAATATATCACAAAAATTTAAGCAAACTGTTCCAGAACAGTTGAAATATACTTAATCCAGATATTCATTAAATTCTTTGTCTATTGCCTGGTTGTTCAGACATTTTCCTTGTAAGATTCAGTGACTGAATATTTGAATACATATTATCTACAGAGTAATTTGTCTTTCCAAGCACTAAAAAAATTGAGCTTTGCTCAATAAAAATGTGATATCCCAATTTGAAAATCATACAGTAAGTTCCGAAGTTGTACAATTTTGAATTAGTATACTAAAAATTAGGATTTAAAAAGTTGTGTTACAGTTGTTTTACTACTCTTTTAACTTTGTCTCTACAGAGGCAAAGATTTCCAACATTTTCATAATCTAATGAAAATCTCTAGAGGAAAACTTCCCTTTAGTTTTAACTCACTGTTCCCAAATTATACCATGACCAAGAGAAAAAAATTCAAACCCAATGTCCTCCTATGAAAAAGGCTAGTAAATGTAATGAAGAAGCTATGCTGAACTGTTTTCTGAATTGAGTCAGGAGATTCTACCACTAGTTACCTATGTGGTTTTGAGCAATCATCTCTCTTGCCTCTATCTCAGTTTCCTTACTATAAAATGAAGAAATGAGACTCTTCTCATATGCATTGATATATAAAAACTTGTGTACTAAGAGTTATAAATTCACAAAAAGCCAGAATTGGTTATATTATTATAAATTCACAAAAGCCAGATTTTCAAAAAATCCAAATTTCTAATTTTTCAGAATTGTAAAACTTTATTGTAGAGACACCTGGATGTAACAAAAAAAGGTAAGTGTCCAACCCAATTCCTCTCCAACTCTTTTCCTTGTTTACCTGTGGCACCTCTTAGAATAACACACTCAAAAAAAATTTTCAACTCCAAAAGCACTGTGAAGCTAAGATATATTTTGCTGAAGGCTCTTCCTCAAAATCCTCTTCAATTACTTTTATTCTTTCCCCAAAAAGTTCCTCTCCCTACTACAGAGGCCAGATTTCTTTCTCTTTCTTATCTCCATCAATTTCTCTAATCTCTTCTTCCATACCCTCTCAAACTCCTATTTGCTTGTACCTAGCGAAAAAAATGTCCAGAAGGGCCTACCCGGTGGCAGTAGGTTGAGCACTGCGCTGTGAAGCTGTACGGGACCTCAGAGGTGGGGGTTCGATCACTGCTGGGGAGAATCCCACATGGTGCTGCAGACCTCTCCTGTCTGCTCCCCTCAGCAGTGTGTTTCGTCAGTCTGCCTGTTCTGTTCCCCACTCTGTTTCTGGTGAATCCTCTCACCCTCCCGTGCCTCTGGCCTGTACCCCAGCTCTTGTATAAAAATAAATAAACCTTAAAAAAAAAAAAAAAAGTCCAGAAACAGAGCAAAACATACCCCAAGAAAGTACCACTTCAAAACAGGAATTTTAATACAGTATTTTACTCCCAATTCCTCTAACTTCTGATAACTCCATAGTCTCAAAATTCTAGCAGTTCAATGGATGACTTCACAAAACACCCTTCTATCCTATCCAGTTTTCTCCCTGCCCTGCTCCAAAGCCACTGCCATATGGAGCCTTAATAACTGATCAGAATATGTAATGAAAACTGTAAGTAATGAAAATATTTCTATATGTTTCAGATTGTATTTAGTGCAGTATCCATGTCCAACAATGAAGAGACTAACTGGAATTCCTTATGCAAACATATTTAAAAGCACATATCTCAATACCCACTTTCAAAAGTGTGATTTTGACCATCTGATTATGAAAAGAACAGTATTGTTTCAGCCCACTTGGTTTCTTAATATATTCACAGTTCTCAATCTCTTATCAACAAGCAGAGAACAACTTACTTACCAGGGTTTTATAGCAAGCATCTGACAATAGCCATTGACCCATGTACTCATCTAGACAATTAAATTAAGAATCCAAATTACCAGGAGACTATCACTGATAATCACTTGCTCAGAATCAGCCATTTAGTGTGACAATACCATTTTTTGGAACTTCAGAAGCAATTGTAATTGTCCAATGAGTTTCTCTTGAAAAAAGAATGATATTCCTTAACAAATAACCAACCAGTAAAGACAACAAAGGTAAAATTCAAGCTATGCATTAGGGAAAACAACTCTAAATTTAGTGCCGTAAATTCAGCAAGAAAAGCCCTCACACCACCATTCACAAGTCTCAGTTCAAGCAATTTATTTTTGGCAAGCCAAAGCACAGCTGTCAACGCTGGGTTTTTTTTTTCCACCCCCAAATTACATAAAGTATTTTTGAACAAAAATGTAGGTATCTTCAAGTTGGGGGTAAGTTACAAATGCCGTGTGTCATCATAAATGCTTAAAAAAAAAAAAAATCACACGGAAGAGGTTAAAAAAAAAAAAGGCAAACAAACAAACCCTGGAAGATGCTGCAGAGCCCCCTTGCTCCCGAAATAAAACTCCTGGTGGCTGTAACAGCAGCGGCAGCGCTACTCCCGACAGAAGTTTTCAGCTGTCACTTCTAACAGCTGAGCGCTTCCTAGGAGAGAAGCGACAGGCCGAGAAGAGAGGTGGTTGTGGGAAGTCTGAAGATTTAATACTTGAAATCTTACCCTCGCAGGGCAACCTTTCCGCACCTCACCTGCGCTTACGGGACAGCCAGCAAGCGCAGTCCCCCTCCCCCAGCACACGCTTCCACCGCTCGCGCCCGCTACACTCCAGCGCAGCAGCTCGAGAACTGACCACGCGCCCCCTCCCGCGCCCTCCACAGACAGGCTGCCCCTGGCCACGCAGATCTCAGGTGAGCGGCTCAACCCGCACCTGCAAGTCCCGCGGCGGCCTCACACCTAGGGTCAGGTCCGCCCCGCCCGCTCTCACGTCTCGGGCTGCGCGGCGCCTCGGCTTCCGCAGGTAACTACACGCCTCCCGGGTCTCCGCGCGCTCGGACGCGCAGGGCTTCCAGGGCCCGCGCCACCGCCCGGGCCCTGTCACCTGGGGCCCCCCGGGACCCCGGGCCTCACCCCCTCCTCCAGCTCATCCTCAGAGCCCGCGTCCTCTGGCTGGTCCAGGTCTATGTCAAACACTCCCGCCATGTCCTCAGCTTCCCCGTCTCGGAAGTCCGGCGCCGGGTAAAAGCCGTCCCGCCTCCGTCGTCGCCTCATGGGCCCGGACCCGCCGCAGACACCGCCGCCGCAGCCGCCATCACCGGCTGCTTGGACTCAGTGCGTCTGCGCCTAGGCCCTGGACTGGCTCCTCAAGTTCAGCTCCGGAGCATGCGTGCAGGCCTCTGTGAAGCCGAACTGTGGGCAATGAACATGCGTAGAACTATCGCCAGGGCCCAGTTACTGGCAGAAACATGCGCAGAACCCCGGTCGAAGCTGCGCGTGACGATTGGCGCATGCGCATTGTGAGCCACAGCGTTTGATGGGCTATGAGCATGCGTGCCGTGTGTGTGAAGTTGATAAATTGAAATTGAACATGCGTAATTAACCTCTCGGAAAAGGGAAAAAAAAAAAAAAAAGCACACAACAAAACTTCGCATGTGGAACATGCGCATTCGTTCTCCTTTGCCTTTTTTCGTTTTGAAAGGGAGCATGCGCATAATGAGAGGGTTGCCCCTCTGAAGTTTGAGCCAGAAAGAAACGGCGGGTCCTGGGGCTGTCAGTGAGTTGCGTTTATGGGGAGGGCCTGGTGTAGGTGGGGAGAGGGAGTCTTGGCTTTGCTGTCTACTACTTCAATGGCCTTTCAAAAGTCACATTACTTTTCAGAAGCTCGGTTTTCTTATCTGTAAAATGAGAATAATGTTACCTATTTGCAGAGTTGTTTGAAGTTTAAATACAGAGTCTGTACATTGTTTTTCCAGTGCTGCACATACCCGGTGTGAGGTCTTTATCGATGTTAAAAAGAGAGAAAAGTTTCTCTAATATTTCATCTGATTTTTTTTTGCAAGCTTCATTTATCTAAGCTAAACAAAACTTCTCTTTTTGTTGTTAACTGTAGTTACCAGGCCAGAAGGGTAATTGGTGAAGAGAGAAAGTCATTTAGAAGAAAGAAAATTCGTGTTAATTAAACCTACAATTATTGAATTAACCTCTGCATTCTATGTGTCCGTGTGATTTGTGGTATATACTATGAATTACTTTAACCAGCATACATTTTGTTTTGTTTTAAATGCATACTTAGGAACATAGTAAATACAAATCAGATTCTGGGAAATATTGAGCTGTGTGTGAATGAATTTTGGTACAATAAGTCCCAAATCCAAAATGACATAGTGAAAGAGAACAAATACTTGAATGAATGTATTGGTTTCTCAGATAACACAGCTATTTCATCTGTAGCATCATATACATATATGGCATTTAAAACTTTATTTTTTGATCATTGAAGTAAGAAAAATGTTTTCAAATAAAATAAAACTTATATTGATATATATTAATACATGACATTTCATTTGCTCTTTGTTAGTAATGTAGTGGTTATCAATGCCTATATTTTTCTATTACAGGTTGCTTACTTTTTTTAGGAACTAGGTTTAAGAACTCAGCATGTCAATTATAACACTACAGCTTGGTCAGTGTGGCAATCAGATTGGTTTTGAAGTGTTTGATACTTTATTTCGTGACTCACACTGTCCTCATGGACTCTGCTGTAAAAGAGAGAATGAGGCATATCAAGCATCTTGCAAAGAAAGATTCTTCAGTGAGGAGGAACATGGAGGTATGTGTGGTCCAAAGTCCTCTCCTTTACTCTAATATAACTAGCCTCTTCACGGTAGGCCCCCACATAGTATCCAAACCCCCTTCCCTTCCCAACTTCCTAAGGCATCCCACCCTTTGTTTCTGTGTTAACAACTTTTGCCTCTCACATAAAGGAAGATGCTCAGATTTTGCCAATCTAAAACCAGACAAGAAAACAAAAGTCGTCTCTTGGCCCTCCCTATGGGTTAAGTCTCAGGGCTCTCACCACAATGGCCTGAGTTCTGTCCCTGGCTAGGGAGCTTAAGACCTCTCCTGCCTTGTCTGCTGTTCCCCTCAGCAGTGTATTTTAGTCAATCTGCCTGTTTTGCTCCCCACTCTGTCTCTGGTGCATCCTCTCACTGTTCACATCTGGCCTACACCCCAGTTCTTCTACAAAGGAAAATAAATATTTAAAAATATATATATTTTTAAAAAACCCTTGTCTCTTGACTGTTACTTTTTCCTTCTTACCTCTTTGTCTTCTTATACAAGATTATCAAAGGAGTACTTTTTTAACCTGTTTTCATCTTGCTTCTGCCCTAAAACATCCCTGCTCTACAAAAGTTTCCAGTGATTTCTAATTATAAAATCTAAAAACTCTTTTTCTTTTCTTAATTTAATTAAATTCTCTTGATAACATTTACTGTAAAACATCCTCCCTGAAACTTCCTTATCCTTAGTCTCTGAATTTTTCTTCTCTAATAGTTGTATCTCAGGTTCTCCTCTGTCCTCACTTATATACTTCTCCCTGGGCTATTTCAGTCACTCCCATAATTTACTGTTTCTTTTACACTGGTGACTCTCAGAACTCTAGCCCAGCTTCTCTCCCAGACTATTTGGTAGACTTTTTCACCTGAATCTCCCATGTGCACCTTAGACTCTACACCTCTATATCCATGGTCATTCATTATCTTTCCTTTAAAACTTGGACTTTTACTGCCCATATATCTTAGAACATATGCTTTATGTACCTCCTACATATCTCTTAAACCATTCCCTTTCCGTCTTCATTCTCATTACCTTAGTACTGGCTCTTTTCGTCTCTCAACATGGACTATTTCAAGACACTCTTGAGTCCCCCTGTCTAGAACTTTCTGTCACAATTGCTTTCCATTAAGAAAGACATCTGGGGCCTCCCCAGTGGTGCAGCGGTTGAGCACTGGGTTGCGAAGCTGCCCGAAGCCTCCGTGGCGCCGGTTCGATCCCCAGCTGCTCCCCGGCCACTGGAGGAGGGTCCCACATGGCACACAGACCTCTCCTGCCACTCACTGCTCCCCTCAGTAGTGTACTTTGGTCCTTCTGCCTGCTCTGCTCCCCACTCTGGCTCTGGTGAATTCTCTCACCCTCCCGCGCTTCTGACTGTACCCAGTGCTTGTATAAATAAATAAATAAATCTTTTAAAAAAAAAAAAAAGACATCTGAGGCCTCCCTGATGGCACAAGGGGTTAAGTTCAGCACTGTCAAGCTATCTGCAGTCATTGTAGCACAAGTTCCATCCCTGGCCGGAGAGCTGACCCACTTGTCACAACAGATCTCTCCTTTCTCACCTGCTCCTCCACTCAGCAGTGTATTTCAGTAGATCCACCTGTTCTGCTCCCCACTCTTCTCTGGTGAATCCTCTCACCCACCCCATACCTCTGCCCTACACCCCAGCTTTTATATGCATAAATAAAATAAATCTTTTTTTTAAAAAAAAAAGATATCTGACTATTCCTCCTCACTTGAAAATATTTGATGGCTTCACTTTGCCTATAAAAGATATTTTTTTTTAAAGATTTCTTTATTTATGCATACAAGAACTGGGGTATAGGCAAGAGGTGAAGGGTGTGAGAGGCTTCACCAGAGAGAGAGAGTGGGGAACAGAACAGGCAGATTGACTGAAATATACTGCTGAGGGGAGCAGTGGGCGAGCCAGGAGGGATCTGCTGGGCCATGTGGGTAGCTTCCTGGCCGGGGATTGAACTCGTGCTGCAGTGGCTGCAGATCACTTCACAGGCTGCGTTTTAACCCTTTGCACCACCAGAGAGGCCCCTAAAAGATAAATTTCAACCTTTTAGCAATGCATACAAGGTCTTCAAAGATCTCAGCCCTGCCTGCTTTCCATCTCCATTCTACATTTCTCCCACCCCCTCTTTTTCTATCTTCTGCTTCAATAATCCTAAGCTACTTGTTATGCCCATAGTATTTTGTACCTGACTGTGCTACTTTGTTAGTATGACTTATCAGGGGTCACATCACATCATAGTGTGATTAAGTGTTATTGTATTCTCTCTCCCACTACTCCTTCTAGGACTGGATTGATTTTTATCTTCATCTTGTATTCAAGGCTTTCTCTCTGTAGCCCTGACCCAGTGATATTTTAGCCATGCTGATTCATCCTGCTTTGCAGAATGCTAGGCATTACAAACCATCTATATATATCTCTGCTGCTGCCCACTTTGATTTCTAAGCAGTATAACAGATCTTTCGGCACTCAACCTTTGGATTTTTTTCAGACATAGACGTTTATATTCTGATTTAACCCAACTAAGACGTATAAAATATTTTTCTTTTGATTTTTTTCCCCCTCTATAGTTCCAGTTGCTCGGGCTGTACTTGTTGACATGGAACCTAAAGTTATCAATCAAACACTATCCAAGGCTGCCCAGTCTGGCCGATGGAAATATGATCAACATTCATGCTTCTGTCAAAAACAAGGTTCTGGAAACAACTGGGCATATGGGTAAGAATAATTCATCATAGGGCCACCCTGGTGGTGCGGGGGCGTTAAGAACAGCACTATGAAGCAGTCCGCAGCCTCTGCAGCACAAGTTCTATCCCCAGCTGGACAGGGAGCTACCTAGATGGTGCAGCAGACCTCTCCTGTCTCTCCCGCTACTCCCCTCAGCAGTGTATTTCAGTCAGTCTGCCTGTTCTGTTCCCCACTGTCTCTGGTGAATCCTCTCACCTCTCGCACCTCTGGCCTGTACCCCAGCTCTTGTATGCATAAATAAATAAATCTTTTAAAAAAAAAAGAATTCCTCATAATTTTCATTTCAGATACAGCAGCACAGTCAGTATATAGTATAGTTACAACTTGATGTACCAAACACAAAATATTGAAATTGGCAGTTTTAAAATGTAGAGTGTGACTTTACCCAGAAGAAATTATCAACCTCCTTTCAGTTCCATGTAATGATGGAACCAAGAAACTATTGCAGCAGGGTTTTCCTTCTTCACTGTCATGATGCCAACCAACTTATCCATACAATATCTCCTGCAGGTATTCCAACTCATAGGGAATATGACAAGGCAGCAGTGTTTCCAGGGGTTCTTTGGCAAATTCTAGGGTTTACTTCCAGAAATTCTGATTTGGTTGGGATGAAGCTCAGATGTTGGGATTTTTCAAAGCTTTCCCAAGTGATTCTAACATGCAACAAGTTGGAGAACCATTGCTTTGGGAATATAGACTATTATAACATAAACTTGCGTAACTACCTGTTACTTGAAGTCTTCAGCTAAAGTAGTAGCCTGTACAAGAGACTTTTGTGTACCCAGAAATTCACTCTTCTAGGCCTATTCACCTGTTAAATATATTTAATTTGTAAATTTTAAATTTCGTCAATCAGGGAACCTGTACCATTCATGAGAGTTAGTTCATTTCCTTAGCTTTATTTATTTTTAAAGTTTTCTTTTTAAAAAAATTTTTTATTTTTATTTATTTATACATACTAGAACTGGGATGTTGGCCAGAGGTGTGGGGCATGAGAGGATTCACCAGAGACAGGGTAGGAGCAGAACAGGTGGATCTACTGAAATACACTAGTGGGGTGAGCAATGGGCAAGATGGGAAAGGTCTGCTGACATAGATGGGTTAGCTCCCTGGATGGGGATCAAACTCATGTCACAGTGGCTGGCGATAGTTTGATAGCTTGATAACCCTGAGACTTTAAATCCTGCACCACCAGGGAGGCCCACTTCCTTAGCTTTCAAAAGTCTTCACTAGCTTATATCTTTCTCTCTGCATTGCATGGCTCTGTTTAAATTGAAAGGTGTTTGTATGTTTTTTTCTTTTGCATTGCACAGTTACTCTGTTCATGGACCCAGACATGAAGAATCTATAATGAACCTAATCCAGAAGGAAGCGGAGAAATGTGACTCTTTGAGTGGTTTTTTCATTATAATGAGTATGGCTGGGGGCACAGGATCAGGACTAGGAACCTTTATAACACAGAATTTACAAGATCAGTACTCAGACTCTTTGAAAATGAATCAAATTATTTGGCCTTATGGAACTGGTGAGGTATGAACATCTTTATTGATAACTTTATATTTGGCATTTATCTTTGCAATGAAATGTAGGCAAAAGATTGAGCTTGGCCTTTGTTTAAAAATGTTAAGTTACTGCTTCAAGAGTGATTATACAATATGCTACTTTCATGAACAACTCATTTAACTTTACTTTTCCAAACAAATGAGAAACCCTGTTTTTAAAATTTCAAAATAGACAAATGTACATATTCTCCTAGGAAACCATTCCTGGTTTATTTCCTCTGTCTATATGTAAAGCAGGGACCTTGACCTCATGTTGCTTCACGGTGCCATTGTTAACCTTCAAAGAATTTTCATTTCTTTCTATTGAGAGGAAATTTCTATACAGCCCAATTTCCTGTCTATCAGCCTGCTAGGAGGAATAATAAATGGAAGTGAAAAAAGTCACTATAGGAAATGTGGGAATAAAGTGTGATAGTTAATGTTTATTGGGCCCTTAATAGATACAGGTCACTGTTCTAAGTGCTTTGCTTGCATTCTGTCATTAATCCTTGCAATGCAAAGGCTGATATAATTCTTTTCCCCATTTTACATATTAGGAAACAGACCTAGAGAAATCCAATAACTTATCAAAGATCATATATATAAAAGGTGACAGAGGGACTCCCCGGTGGCACAGCAGATTGAATGCGGTGCTGTGAAGCTGTCCGCAGCCTCTGCAGCATGGGTTTGACTCCTGGCCAGCCAGGAAGATGCCCACATGGCGAGGCAGACCTCTCCTGTCTCACCTGCTGCTCCCCTCAGCAGTGTTTTCGGTCGTCTGCTGTTCTGCTTCCCGCTCTGTCTATGTTGAATTTTCTCACCCTCCTGTGCTTCTGGCCTGTACCCCAGTTCTTGTATAAATATAAATAAAAAATAAATAAATAAATCTTTTTTTTAAAAAAAGACCTTTAAAATAAATAAATAAATAAAATAAAAAGTGACAGAGCCAGGATTAGGACTCAGGTAGGCTACCTTTGAACCTACCCTTTTAAGAGACTGCTCTTCTTTCCTGCCTTTTTTATTTCTGAACTTTTATTATCTAGGTTATTGTTCAGAACTACAACTCCATTTTGACTCTTTCTCACTTGTACCGATCATCAGACGCCCTCCTTATTCATGAGAATGATGCTATTCACAAGATCTGTGCAAAACTGATGAATATCAAGCAGATCTCTTTTAGCGATATAAATCAAGTCCTCGCACATCAACTGGGAAGTGTGTTCCAGCCTACTTATTATGAAGAAGGCTCATTTCACTACAGGAGAAATCCATTAGGTAATTGTCCCCTGTTTGTTACTTGTACCAAAGTCTCATGTTCTGGAAGCCTCAAAGTTACTGTTCACTGGCTCTTCTCGTATGCCTGAAGATATACGAGGTCTCCATCACAAAACTGTCCTGAAGAGCTGCTTAGCTCTCTGAACTGTCTTATTAATAAGTACTAAGAAGTTACTTACTAAATTTCTCAAAAGAGTAGTAGCTATCCACCCACTCCATTCTTTATGATCCTTTCTCTTTCTGAGAACAAATGAGGAAACTGAGGCAAGAATGCTTAAGATGAGAGTAATTGAACAAGAAAGCTGGAATAGCAGAATGTGACAACAATGCGTGCATTAGTGTTTAGGAATTATTTGCTGGCTGTTGTTTATTAGGCATGGTATGTAATAGAACTCAGCTCTTCTTTTACAGAGGAGGATTCTTGTGCTTAGAGGAAATTCCACCAGCCTTAAGATCATTTGTGCAATCTTTTTAGATGTCTGTGTCAAAATTTGTTGCTTTCATTAAGATGTAGGATAAGTTTGCATTCGTTGTTGCCATACATTTCATATTGTGTTAATGTTCTCTCTCCTATTTTCTATAAATATATAAAACAGCTCTGAATGTAAAGCAAATTAGCCTTTCTCCTTAATTCTATTTCATTACAAATACAAGTTTCTTAAGATAGATATATTCCTGGGCCTCCCCGGTGGCGCAGCGGTTGAGCACTGGGTTGCGAAGCTGCCAGCAGCCTCTGCAGCGCCGGTTCGATCCCCGGCTGCTCCCCAGCCACCGGAGGAGGGTCCCACATGGCGCGCAGACCTCTCCTGCTGCCCGCTGCTCCCCTCAGCAGTGTACTTCGGTCCTTCTGCCTGCTCTGCTCCCCTCTCTGGCTCTGGTGAATTCTCTCACCCTCCCGCGCTTCTGACTGTACCCAGTGCATGTATAAACAAAACAAACAAATGAATAAATGAATAAATAAATATAACATGCCTCTATTAAAAAAAATTTAAAAAAAAAAGATAGATATGTTCCTATCTTCAGGAATTACTAATCATGTCCTTTTTTTTTTTTTAAGATTTTTTTTAGGGCCTCCCTGGTGGCTCAGGGGTTAAAGTCACCACTCTTAAGCTGTTGGCTGCCACTGCAGCAGAAATTCCATCCCCAGGCAAGAAGCTAACCCACATGGCTCAGCAGACCTCCCCTGTCTCACCTGCTGCTCCCCTCAGCAGTGTGTTTCAGTAGATCTGCCTGTTCTGCTCCCCACTCTGTCTCCGGTGAGTCTTCTCACTCCCTGCACCTCTGGCTAACACCCCATTTGTTCTACAAAATCAATGAATAAATAAAATCTTTTTTTTAAAAAAGTTTTTTTTTACTTATTTATGTATACAAGAACTGGGATCTAAGCCAGAGGTGTGGTAAAAGGGGGTGAGAGGATTCCTCAGAGACAGAATGAGGAGCACAACAGGCAGATTGACTGAAATACACTGCTGAAGGGAGCAGTGGGCGAAACAGGAGAGGTCTACTGCACCATGTAGGTTAGCTCCCTGGCCAGGAATCAGGAATTGGAGATCAAACTCATGCTGTGATGGCTGGAGATAGTTTGATAGCACAGAGACTTTAACCCCTATGCCACCAGGGAGGCCCACTAATCTTGTCCTTTGCCCTAGTAGAATTTGATGTTCATATAAATATCATTTAACCACATTAATAAGAGAAATAATAAGGATATTTTCTAATGGAATAGTGAACACAGTGACACACAGTGCTTGCTTTATTTTCTTTCAATTTATCTAAATATTTTTTTCATATTCCAGCTCCTTCGCTTCTTTTTTTTTTTTAAACAATGTTTGTTTGTTTTTTTTTAAAGATTTATTTATTTTATTTATACAAGCACTGGGTACAGTAAGAAGTGCGGGAGAGTGAGAGAATTCACCAGAGCCAGAGCGGGGAGCAGAGCAGGCAGAAGGACCGAAGTACACTGCTGAGGGGAGCAGCGGGCGGCAGGAGAGGTCTGCGCGCCATGTGGGACCCTCCTCCTGTGGCTGGGGAGCAGCCAGGGATTGAACTGGCGCTGCAGAGGCTGCAGGCAGCTTCGCAACCCAGCGCTCAACCGCTGCGCCACCGGGGAGGCCCAGCTTCTTAACTCTTATTTCCATTTTGGCAAAGTGTGTTTGTCACTCATGCTAAAATAGGTGCCAAAATGAAGCAAATATGGGTCTATAGTAGGCGCTGCCTCTGAAATCTCATGTGTGTAGTAAGGTTTAAACAGTTCTGACCCTGGAGGAAAAGACATTTAGTTCCAAAACCATCAAGTCATGGTTGTGTAGAGGCCAATGGGAACAATGTAGAATTTTAAAGTCTAGTTCGAATTTTTTCCTTTACAGGAGACTTAATGGAGAGTTTAGTTCCTCATCCGGAATTCAAGATGCTGAGTGTTCGAAACATTCCTCAAATGTCTGAGAACTCACTGGCATATAGCACGTTTACTTGGACTGGCCTCCTCAAGCACTTGAGACAGATGCTCATTTCTAATGCAAAAATGGAAGAAGGTAAAGGGTATTTTAAAAATATTCAACCCACAAGCTGGAAAAAATGCTTGTGCCAGAGTTCTCAATATAAACATCTGGTGTCAGTTGAAATAATGGTCCCTTCTTCTAGCCAGGGAGGCTCCTGCAAAAACTCACCAGGACATCCCAGGAGAGCTTCTCAATCACTTCAAGTTTTTTTTTTGTTTGTTTTTTGTTTTAACATTTATTTATTTTTTTGTTTGTTTATTTATACAAGCACTGGGTACAGTCAGAAGCACGGGAGGGTGAGAGAATTCACCAGAGCCAGAGCGGGGAGCAGAGCAGGCAGAAGGACCGAAGTACACTGCTGAGGGGAGCAGCGGGCAGCAGGAGAGGTCTGCGCGCCATGTGGGACCCTCCTCCAGTGGCCAGGGAGCAACCGGGGATCAAATTGGCGCCACAGAGGTTGCAGGCAGCTTCGCAACCCAGCGCTCAACCACTGCGCCACCGGGGAGGCCCTCACTTCAAGTTTTGTTTCCCAAAAATATCTCAAATGAGCGTGACATCTAAATTCTTTTTTTTTGGTCAAAGTAATATATGAACATAGTTTTTTAAAAAATCAAGTCGTTGAAACTCATTTAAGTGTATACTTAAACCTGTAACTTACATTGTATGTAAATGATATTTCATTGGGAAAGAAATTGTCCAGTATGACTTTATAATGAAGAAAAGTGCAGGCCACTATCCTACATTTCCCTGCTCTCCAGTTGAAACTCTCTTTTTCAATATTTTTAGCAGGTTCTTTTGGAGTTTGCCTCCATATTTCTAAATACCTTGTTTATATTGTCTGTTTGTTTTATTTGCCTATTTTAGATATTTTCAATCACCTTAATAATGTGAAAATTGAGAACTGAGTCTTTGTGTGTGTGTGTGTGTATAGAACTGGGGTGTAGACCAGAGGTGTGGAGGTTGAGAGAATTCCCCAGAGACAGAATGAGGAGCACAACAGGCAGATTGACTGAAATACACTGCTGAGAGGAGCAGTGGGCAAGATAGGAGAGGTCTGATGCACAATGTGGGTTAGCTCCCTGGCCTGGGATGGAAATCAGGCCATAGCAGTGATAGCACTGAGACTTAACCCCTAGGCCACCAGGGAAGCCTGAGAATTGAGTCTTCTTATATCCCTTGAATATGCGTACACACCTCTATCCTTTCTCCCAGTATAGTTATAACATGTTTTTAGGTTAGATCAACTTTCAGTACTTTCAGTACTTATATTACTTTCACTCTGTGAACATTAATCACAGTTAAGCCATGTATTATATATGCAGATTACATTTTATCTCCTAGAATTAACAATATATATTGTTCCCTATTCTATGTACCTATTACTATTCTATCCCTAAATTCTTCTATAACACGAATTCCATCTCAATATGTTCAAGCCCATTAGGTATCTGTTACTTTATTGATCTGCTTAGGGATGTCCCCCTAAGAGGCTTCATCTTCCCAATGCAGTCTGGACTGATGGCTCTCGAGGCTTGATAAGCAACTGGCACTGGCATCTTTATTTGCCTCATCCTGTATTCTATCCCGTTTCCTAGCTTTCAAATTTTTCTTTGTTGGTTTATTTCCTCATAGTGATGGTTTATATCCTCCAGAAGATTCGTAAGAAAAGTATAGGGAATGTAAAATTAGATTGATAGTTTGACCAGGTGCAGGACTGAAAGTTGAGAATCATTTTCACTCAGTATTTCAATTACTCTTTTATCTTCCAACTTCTAGTGTTGCTGTGATAAGTCCCATGTCAATCTAATTCTTGGTCCTGTTTCGTTCTTTGGAAATCTTTTAGGATTTTTTTCTTTGTAGCACTCTGGAGTTCCTTAGTGTGGATCTCCTGTGTATTTCAGGAGAATGTACACTTTATGAGGGCTAGAATTTCTATCAGTTTTGTTTACTGCGGTTTCTTCAGAACCCAGACAGTGGCCTAACACATAGTTTAGCTGAGACCAGGGCCCCCTGGTTTATCCTTTCCTGAGCAGAAACCTCTTCTTTTGGGGTCATGGGGGGGCACTTTCCCCACTGTAAGGAGTAAGAAGGGTCTGGAGTTCTCACTTCTCATGCAGTGAGATTTTTAACTAATCCTGTTTCTTCTAATGTTAAAAATAGCTGGACTACTAGAACCTCCAAAGCGGGCAAGTTTCAGCTTTTCCTGGTTGCTAAGTCTATAACCTTCCAAAATTTTGCTTTCTATCTTCCAAAATTTTGTTGCCACGATCTTCTTGCCCATTCCTTTTTTTCGTGTTTATGCTTACAACAACAAAACAAAACCCAAAATACCCTATCTGATGAAATTTGGGGAGTGACAAAAGTATGTTCAGACTGTCATGTTTAACTAGAAGCATGTATTATATCACAAATTACAATATCTTAGGTTTAAATACTCTGAAAGTGGATTTCCTCTTCATTTATCTGTAACACCTATGGCTATTCTATTATACTGCCTGAGGTTTGAAGATTAAGTAGAAAGTTCACATCCCAGAGTAATGCTTCCTATTTTCTGTGGCCACAATACCTGTTTTTCTAGCAATACCTGTTAACATCTCAAGGAACACTGTGTTCCTCAGGGTGGTGTAAGACAAAGTGCTGCTCTAAGCTTTCTTAGGTCAATAAACCTCAACTTGCTTAGTCATTTCCCATGCAAGACTTTAGGGTGTCAACAACATTCACAGCTAGAGATAGAGCTTTTTGTTATCACATATATTAATATATGAATAAGCATATTTATGTCTCTAGCCAGGTTTGAAGTAGAAGGATGTAATATTAAAACTCTTCATGTTACCAGACTGCTTGCTATGAAGACTGACCCCATTAATGTCACCATTAGCAATGTATCTGTTTATATTGTCTTGGCGACTAAAAGAATGAGTGATCCAAGAGGGAGCACGGCAGAAGTTACACTCGTTTTTATGACCAGCTTTGGAGGTCACACACCATCCTTATGGTTATTGAGGTTAGCCCTATTGCAGTTGGGAGGGGCCACACAAGAGCATGAATCTTAGGAGGTAAGGGTCATTGTGGTTCATCTTGGTAGCTGGCTGTTACACTCTGTCACCTAATAAATCATTTCCTCTAATATGCAGGATGTATTTCTCCCAAAGCTCGAAAAGTTCTGTCCCATTAGCACATCAGTCCAAAGTCTAGACTCTTGTCAATTAAAAGCAGAACCAGGTGTGAATTTATTCTCCTCAGGTGAGATTTCTTGAGGAATAGCTCTCTGAATACAGTTCCTTGCACACACACAACAGACCAGAATAGTGGACACTTCCTTTCAAAAAGGGGAAAATGGAAGGTACACAGGAATTGTTCATTGGTCCATAAAAATTAAGCAGGGCAGGCATCCCTCATGGCCCAAGGGTTAAAGTCTCAGTGCTATCAAGCTATCACCAGCCACCATGGCATGAGTTCAATGCCTGGCCAGGGAGCAGACAAGGCGCAGCAGACCAATCCTGTCTCGCCCACTGCTCTCCTCAGCAGTGTATTTCAGTAGATCCTCCTGTTCTCCTCCCCACTCTGTCTCAGGTGAATCCTCTCACTCCCCACACCTCTGGCCTATACCCCAGCTCTTGTATGCATAAATAAATAAAATAAACCTTAAAAAAACAAATTCAGCAGGGCAAATGCTAGCAGTTTCTTGATTAGAATGTTAAAGTCTGGAAATCATTTTCCATGACTTTTGACTTGGCCATCTGAACCAAACTAAGATATAATCTTACTTGCTTATTTTTTTAAAGGAGGTCATCTATCTGGCTGGGGATCCAACTCTTGCTACAGTGGCTGCTGATAGCTTCATAGTGCTGTGACTCAACCCCTTGCGCCACCAGGGAGGCCCCTCTTACTTGTTTATTTTTAAGTTTTATTTAAAACATTTTATCTTAAAATTACATGTCACTAGTTGTTTTATTTTTGCTAGTTTGGATTAATTTGTGCATGTGAGAACTAGAGTGCATTCTGAGGGAGTATGCGCAGAATTCTTAAGACTTAAGAATACGTTCTATACATTCTATGAATTTTTTGTTCCACAACTTTTTTCAGCATAATATTTTCTGACCCTCTTTCCAATTAAGTACATTTAGACACACCTTATACTTTTATAATAGCTACTTAATTTTCCAGTTTGTGCCATCATTTAAAATATCTATATAGATTAAAGCATCAAGTAATTCTCCAAAGCTAACTGTTGAAACTGTCAGTCCATAACCTTCCTTTATTTTCTCCTTCCCAGAAGGAACCATGTTTCAAAACACTCTTACTGTTCTTTTACTGTTTTTATCTAGTCATTGCCATTTATTGACTTGTCAGTTATTTAGGTATACTCTATTTACTTACCCCTGTGGAAGGTTAGGATTTAGCTTTTTCTCCACCCTGGCCACCAAGCCCTGTAGATATTCAGTCTTCTTATCCTTCAAATAGAGTTATGTCATTGGGTTGAAGAGATACTAAGCTTCACATGATCATGACCTAGTTAATGCTGTCCACAGCTGAGCCATGTCATGTTAGAATCCTCGGGTTACTTTCCAGTATAATTTTTAAATTCTCTTAAGAGCTAGTAATTGCATGTAATTTTCATTTGCTTAGTTATCTGCCCCTGTCAATTATTCAATCCTAAGTATTGCTCTACTTGTCCAGATTTTCTTCTTGATATATTCAGTTGTTCTGTCAGTTTCATCCTTTTAAGAGCCCTCTGACATGCTTCAATCTAGATTTCCACCCCCACCCTCTTTACAGCCCTCTACACCTAGTATTCATTTGTCTGTCTTCAGTATTAGGTAGACAAAGCCTTAGTGATTTGGGGGGAGCAAAAGGAGGAGGAGGTCATAATTTTCATGGTTTTTACTTGCTCTCTCTGGTTTCAGTATGTACCCTGCATTAACTCTGCCTGGTTCTCCTGTCTAGACACTCTCAGTCATATATATTCTCTCCAGAAAATAAAACTTTCCTTTTCTGCTCAGATAGGAAAGAAGCAGTCATCATCACAAACAAGTTTAGCAACATTCCTTAAACAGGAGTCAAATGGGGATGTGCTCTACAGATTACAAATCCAGTTCAAGAGCCAATGATTTAATGTTTTCATGGATTCCCTTAAGGAACCCTGTATCACAGGTTCTGGAGGCTCAGAGAAAAATAAAGTGTGAAAAAATGGGTAGCATTAATGATGAATCAACAAGTGATTAAGTTTATAGATGTGAAAACATTTTAGGAAAACCTAAATAATATTTTTTGTTATATATTGCTTTTTCTGTGTATTCAAGAATGATATGATTTTGGGATCTAGGGGTTGAGTCTCGACGCTATCACCATTTTGGCCTGGGATCAATCCCCGACCAGGGAGCTAACCATATGGTGCAGCAGACCTCTCCTGTTTCGCCTGCTGCTTCCCTCAGCAGTTTATTTCAATAAATGTGCCTATTCTGCTCCCCACTCTGTCTCTGGTGAATCCTCTCACCCCACTGCACCTCTGGCCTATACCCCAGTTCATCTAATAAAAAAAAATAGTTTGAATCACTTCAGGTGAACCTGATAAGAATTTTTAAAAACTTAGTGAAAAGAACCTTTACCTATCAAAGGGAAATTGATATAAAATACACATGCCATAATACATTTTTCTCTTCTTGTCCAAAGTCATTTATAAAATCTCTTTTTCTCATTTGGTAGGTATTGATTGGCATGTTCGGCCTCCTTTATCAAGACTTCCTGCTCTTGGTAAAATGTCTGTCAACAAGGAACTTCATTTTAACACTTCCATTGCTAACTTGGTCATCCTTCGTGGGAAAGATGTGCACAGTGCAGATCTGGGTAAGCAGAAGTTAAGGTGAAAAGTAAAATGTATATTTTGCATATGGTACACATGGTAAAAAAAAGTTTCTGAATTGATTCGGAGAGAAAGAAAAATAAAACTGTGATTTAGTATCAGAAAGTAACCATTGTATCAGTTAGTATGTGACCAGACACCAAAACAGGAGTGTTTTAAATAAGATAAAATTTTTTCTTCCTTAATCTGATTGTCCTGTCATCCTCTCCTTGTGACTTCCTCCTTAAAGTCCTAGACATCTTTTTCAAGCTTCAGTTGTCAGATCACATAGAAATGTGCAAAGGACATACCTCCTCCTAGGGCCTCACAGCATATTTGTGTTTATAGCCATTGACTGGTGTTGACTCTTGGTGCCACACCTAACTGCCTGTGTGGCAGTCAGCACAGTTAAAATTCAGGGGTTCTATGTCAAAGAAGATAAAATCAGGTATTGTAGGACAAGTAGTGGAGTTTGTGACATGCATTTTGTATAAAATTTTCAGGAAGTTGAAAAAGGAATACTCATAGTTGCTTAGTGTTTCTGTGGCAGCAAGTCTCTCAGTTATATTATCCTTATTTGATGACTTCCCACAGTGATTTGATACTTCTGGCTGTGATTGAAAAAAAACAAAACAAAACAAAGAATCTAGTCTCTATAATACACCTTAAAGGGTATTATATATGTTTTTTTTTGTTTTATTAATTTTTGCATGGAAGAACTGGAATGTAAGCCAGAGGTGTGGGGGGTGAGAGGATTCACCAGAGACAGAGTGGGGAGCAGTACAGGTGGATCTACTGAAATACACTGCTAATGGGAATAGCGGGTGAGACACCATGAGGGTCACTATGTGGGTCACCTCCCTGGCCAGGAATGGAACTCATGCTTTGGTGGTGATAGCACTGAGACTTAACTCCTAGGCCACCAGGTAGACCCCCCCCTAAAAGCGTGTTATAAAAAGAGATTGAAATATGATTAAAAAGAGATCATTTCAAGTTAGTCATATGGCATACTTGCTTCATTCTTTTAAATTTTAAAAGAAATTAATAAAAATAATAACTTCCGAAAATTTACCCACAGTAAATGACACAGGTGCACGGAGGTGTTCTTAAACAGGTATTCACTGCAACATCTTTGATGCTAACAAAAATGTGGAAACAATCTTAATGGCCAATGGTAGGAAATGTGTTAAATAAATTATGGCATTCATATAAAGAGCCCACAAATATGCTAATGATGGTTTTTGACATGGAAAAGAGATTCACAATATATTGGTGAATGAAAACTACAGATTATAGAAGAGACTGTGTATAAAAGTACATGTACAAGGGCAAGCAATAAAATGTTTATTGTCATTATCTCTAGATGGTGGTAGCATTTCAGCTGTCTTTCAGATGACATATCATAGTACATTTCTGAATGGTTTGAATTTTTTTCAGTGAATATGAATTATTTCCCCAAAATCAGTAGAAAGTTTTAAAAGATTTCTGGGTAGAGGGACAAGAAAATACCTGTTTCTTAATTTTTTTTCCCAAATTAAAAATTCGTGTTATAAAGAATGGTTTGTTGTTTTACTCTAGGGGGATTTAAAGATCCAGCTCTCTATACTTCCTGGTTAAAGCCTCTCGATGCTTTCAATGTATGGAAAACCCAGCGAGCCTTTAGCAAATATGAGAAGTCTGCAGCATTGGTGAGCAACAGTCAGTTCTTAGTAAAACCACTCGACATGATTGTGGACAAAGCATGGAATATGTTTGCTTCCAAGTAAGTGAAAGATAATTCTACAAACCTGTGTAACCTTAGGAGATGATGTGAAGACAAGGCAGGATCTGGAGTGTCTTTGTTTGTTTGGGCTGCTATAATAAGAGTGGCATAGACTGAGTCACTCATAAACACAAAAATGTATTTCTCATGGTTCTGGAGGCTGGAAAATCCAAGATCAATCCAAGGCACATTTGAGGTCTGACAAGGACCCACGCACTTCTTGGTTCATAGGTGGTTTCTTTTCCTCAAATGGTTGGAGGTGCAAGGGAGTTAACATGAGCCAATATAGGGCCTCCCTGGTGGGTTAGGGGTTAAGTCTCAGCACTATCACTGCTATGGCCTGAGTTCAATCCCTGACCAGGGAGCTAGCCCACATATGGCACAGCAGACCTCTCCTGTCTCTGGTGAATCCTCTCACACCCTGTACCTCTAGCCTACACCCCAGTTCTTCTAGGCGAAAAAAAAAAAAAAAGCCAATTTAGATCCATTCATGATACCCTCATGACAATCACATCTCAAAAGACCCAGCTCCTAATATTATCTTTTGAGATAATATTTCAACACATGAATTTTGGAGGCAGACAGTCTGTAAGCATGGTAGTCACTTTGTGGGTGTCAAACACTGGGCATATTACTTCAGGCTTGTCTCCTTATCTCTAAATTGTCTCCTTATCTCTCCTTATCTCTGAGAGAATATGTGGTCGGGATCAAATGAGATAGTTATATAAAAACACCTAGTACAGTGCCTACCTAGTAAAATGTTCAGTGATTCTTGATATTATGTTGTTAACTAAATGAATACTTTTCAAATTAAGTCGTTGTTTCATTATTAGGTAGGGACAATAAGATAGTTGTCCAAGATAAGATCCTTGAAAGAAATGAAATTATAATCTTGCTCAGAAAGAAATTTTTAGATTGAACTCCACTTGATACTAAGAAATGTCTATTTGACATTTGAAGTGGTAGGGATGAGGGTGGTTAATAAAAGAAATGTCTACTTGATACTTAGAAATGTTTTATCAGGGCCTCCCTGGAGGCGCAAAGGGTTAAGATGCAACCTATGAAACTATCCACAGCCACTGCAGCATGAGTTTGATCCCCTGGCCAGGGAGCTACCCACATGGCGCAGCAGACCTCTCCTGACTCACCCGCTGCTCCCCTCAGCGGTGTATTTCGGTCACTCTGCCTGTTCTGTTCCCCACTCTGTCTCTAGTGAATCCTCTCACGACCCCCACACCTCTGGCCTGTACCCCAGTTCTTATATGCATAAATAAATAAATCTTAAAAAAAAAAAGAGGGGCCTCCCTGGTGCCTGGTGGCACAAGGGGTTAAGATGCAACCTATGAAGCTGTCCGCAGCCTCTGCAGCACGAGTTCAATTCCCCCGCCTGCCAGCGAGCAACCTACATGGCGTAGCAGACCTCTCCTGACTCACCCGCTGCTCCCTTCAGCAGAGTACTTCGGTCAGTCTGTGTATTCTGTTCCCCGCTCTGTCTCTGGTGAATCCTTTCACCCCCCATACCTCTAGCCTGTACCCAGCTCTTGTATGCATAAATAAATAAATCCTTAAAAAAAAAAAAAGAAATGTTTTATCAGATTCATGACATCTACCATAATGACTTAAGGCAAAAGCAAAATTCTTCAAATGACTGGACAACACCTCTACTTTGATAAGATGGGGTTCCCAAGGTCTTCCCTACGCAATCCTGCATGTGGCCATTCCAGAAGCCTCCATGTTTAGGAACCTCTCTAGTTTCCAGACCCTCATACTCTGTTTTTTTCTGGTTTCTTTTCCTTCCTGCTCTCATTAAATGGTAGCAGTCATTATCATGTCAATTTAATTAGTCTTCCCTTGATTTTTTTTTTCTTTTTTTCCCCAGAGATTTATTTATTTATGCATACAAGAACTGGGGTACAGGCTAGAGGTGCGGGGGGGTGAGAGGACTCACTAGAGACAGAGTGGGGAACAGAACAGGCAGACCCACCGAAATACACTGCTGAGGATAGAAGCAGGCGAGACAGGAGAGGCCCACTGCGCCATGTGGGTAGCTCCCTGGTCAGGGATTGAACTCGCGCCTCAGCAGCTGTGGACAGCTTCATAGGCTGCGCCCCAACACCCTGTGCCACCAGGGAGGCCCTTCCCTTGATTTTTTTTAACACAACTTCATCTACCTTAGAACATTTTTGGGAGTATAGGCTATTACTCCACCTGACCTAGTTGCAAATTAAATGTCTGAGAAACACTTGGGAAGCAAGCTTCACTTTATTCCTAGAACTTAATTAATGTATTTCTGCAGTTTAAGCCTTAGCTAAAACTGCAGGTACTTTTTAGAGTTTATTTTATACCTCTAGGGTATAAAATATGTGCTGAGTAGACAGCCAAATCTGAACATACTTCTTTGTCCTGTGGGTCTTTTGTTGTCATTCTCTTAGATACTAAAAAAATAGGGAGCTGGATCTACATTTTCAAAGTTTGCTAGTCTTTGGAGTAAACATTGAAGGAAATATAAAACTTATAAGAGAGTCTGCCACTTTCAAATGTTCATGAGCTAAGAAAGATCTATTTATTGTTTGAGTTTAACAGTCATTCATTTGGGCCTCCCTAGTGGCACAAGGGGTTAAGTTTCAGCACTACAAAGAGTTCGATCCCCATCTTCTACAACAGTTAAATGCCTATAGAGAGCAAATCCATATGGCTCAGCAGACCTCACCTGTCTCTCCTGCTGCTCTGCTCAGCAGTGTATTTCAGTAGACCCCACTCTGTCTCTGGTGAATCTCTCACCCCCATACCTCTGGCCTACACCCCAGCTCTTATATGCATAAATAAATAAAAAATATTTTTTTTAAAAAATGTCATTCATTTGTACGAGATTGGTCATTTTTCATTTTCTTATTCTCTCACCAGGGCCTACATTCATCAGTACACAAAATTTGGAATTGAAGAAGAGGATTTTTTGGACAGTTTCACATTGTTAGAACAGGTGATTGCCAGTTACTACAACCTCTAATCCTAAACAAAGGCAGAAAACGACCTACAATCAACTTTTGGACTAAAATATTTACAATACTACATTTCTATAAAGTTTCCAAAGTCTCATTTATAAAAATAACCAAGTCAAATGCTGGTTTCTCCTGCATACTATACCCACAAAAATGGAGGAAAACCTTTTAAATGGAGAATAATATGTTTTCGATGAAAACATCTACTTGGTATTTTTGTAAGAAAAATCGGTGCTACTATATAAAGAACTTTAGAAACACTTTACTGAGATGTTGGCACTCTGGAACTATCAAAAAAAATTGCAAAATTCTGTTTTCTCTTTCCGTGTTCCTAAATCTCTCTTTATCCCATTCACTAAATATGAGCTAGACTATAACAGCATGATTTTAAGCTAAAAACCAGTTCTGTTTTTAAATGTATTCATCGTTGAAGTGAATGCATTGAACCACCAGAGGGAGCTATTATCAAATGCTACAATGTGAACATCTATTTTGAATATTTTATAAATGTAAAATTTTCCACTTTAATCAACTATTTAAAAAATTAATATCAGGGGCCTACCTGGTGGCCTAAGGGGTTAAGTCAGCATATCCATTGCAGTGGCCCACCACAATGACCTGCTTTCGATCCCTGGCCAGGGAGCTGACCCACATGGCACAGCAGACCTCTCCTGTCTCACCCACTGCTCTCCTCAGCAGTGGATTTCAGTAGATCCTCCATAAAAAAAAAAATAAAATCTTTAAAAAATTACCACCAGGATGTTGTTAATAAATACTATGTTCATATACAAAAGTAAATAAAAAATTTATCTTGTTTCCTTTTCTTAAATTTCCTAGGCATCAGAAAGTTGGGTCAGTTTTTCTTTTATATCTTGGGATGCCAGAGCACAAACTGATTTTACTCAACTAGTGTTTGAAAATTACTTATAGGCATTTAACTGTTGTAGAAGATGGCTATATGCTTTTCAGCAAAACGGGTGAGGGCTTTCAGCCCAATTTCACTAAGAAAATTATACCAAGGAAATACTGTGCTTCATGAAATTGACACACCGTGGGTTTCACACAGGACAAAACACTTAAAAATTGGCAACTGAATTTGAGAAGAATGGTGTACTACAATAAATCACATGTGTTATTATATTAACAAATGTAAAATGGGAAACAAAGAGGAAAGTTTGCCCTTTCTGCCAAATCTACCAGTGGTGATTTATTTTTATATGGAAACATGACAATTGAGTTTCACTGGTTTCTTCTTTTTCTTTGCATATGGTAATGATTACCTTTTTACTGTTGTTCTTATCAACTGTTGCTATGATTTAAAATACTGAACCATATCTTATTTCTAAGGAATGTAAAAAGTGGTCTGTTCAGCTCTTAAAAGGCACACCCCACTGCTGTATTTTGTTAACTCAAGTATACTTGAAAAATAATTAGATAATTTTTACAAAACAAAGTTGAAAGTAATTGTTTAGCATTAAAGAAACCAAAAAACTAAAATAATTTCCCCAAACTAAACCAACATTAATGTGAAGATCTGTAACTGAATTATCTCAGTAGGGGTTAAACTGATTCCGAAGAACACTGCTAGAAGTTAATCTTAAAGTCTTAAGGTGAGGGCCTCCCTGGTGGCGCAAAGGGTTAAGACGCAACCTATGAAGCTATCCACACATGGCACAGCAGACCTCTCCTGACTCGCCCACTGCTCCCCTCAGCAGTGTATTTTAGTCAGTCTGCCTGTTCTGTTCCCCACTCTGTCTCTGGTGAATCCTCTCACCCCCCCAACCCTGACCCCTCTGGCCTGTGCCCCAGTTCTTGTATGCGTAAATAAATCTTAAAAAAGAAAAAAAAAAAGAACCAGGATTCATGCCTGCTGGCTTTGAGTACAGTATAAATTCAAACTGCTTATTTTCAAGCTTTTTCATTCTCCCTCATTGGTGGTTTCAAGAGCTCTTTAAACTGTAGAATGTGTTTTTTCCTATTCATCCCCTCTTGCTTCTAGCTTTGCTCCTGCCCACCATCCCCTTGTTAGCCAGTCAATCTGCAGCATTTTGATCTTTTTAAAGAATCACCTAGAAGTCAGTGTACCCACAATTCACTGTGCTCAGTCAATTCATACATTCAATCAATATCTACTCAGGGTCAGGCACTGAATACGACTAAAGAGATAGGGTCAATATCACATAGTCTAGGGCCTCCCTGGTGCCACAGGGTTAAAGTCTCAGTGCTATCAAGTTATTGCCAGCCACTGTGACATGAGTTCAAACCCAGCCAGGGAGCTAATCCACATGGCTCAGCAGACCTCTTCTGTCTCTCCCACCGCTCCCCACTCTGCCTATGGTGAACCCTCTTACCCCTCCCAACCTCTCCCCCACACCTTTGGCCTATACCCCAGGTCTTCCATGCATAAATAAAAATAAACCTTTAAAAAAAAAAATCACAAAGGGCCTCCCTGGTGGCGCAAAGGGGTTAAGACGCAACCTATGAAGCGATCCACAGCCACTGCAGCAAGAGTTTGATCCCCAGCCAGGGAGCTGCCACATGGTGCAGCAGACCTCTCCTGAGTTGCCCGCTGCTCCCTTCACCAGTGTATTTCAGTCAATCTGCCGGTTCTGTTCCCCACTCTGTCTCTGGTGAATTCTCTTACCCCTATACCTCTGGCCTGCACCCAGTTCTGGTATGCATAAATAAATAAATCTTTATTTAAATAATCACATAGTGTAAATGAAGCTTACCATGTGATTAAGTTTGTTTGGCTATCTGGTGCTACAAGTATAGGTCCCCTGTGATGGCTTGTTAAACTTTCCTATTTCCATGTTCAACTTTTTACAGGTAAGATGTGGTCTAAGAGAAACAACAGCACTGGGAGCTTTAATTTAGATGTAAATTTGTCTGCAACATCTGACTAGACTCTTGTCTGCAGAGTACATACCACTGATTCTTCCCCTGACCACCATGTTTATCACATTTGAACTCCTGCCCCAAATTTTGTTTTAAAACATAGTTCAGGGCCTCCCTGGTGGCGCAAGGAGTTAAGTACCACACTATGAAGCAATCCGCAGCCTCTGCAGCCCGAGTTCGATCCCCGGCCGGCCAGGGAGCAACCCGCATGGCACAGTAGGCCTTTCCTGACTCGCCCACTGCTCCCCTCAGCAGTGTACTTTGGTCAATCTGCCTGTTCTGTTCCCCACTCTGTCTTTGGTGAATCCTCTCACCCCCCCCACCCACATCTCTGGCCTGTACCCCAGCTCTTGTATGCATTAATAAATAAACCTTGAAAAAAAAAACATAGTCCATGTTTCTATCTCACTAAACTCTCTCCATGAGCCCAAAGTTTGGTGGTCAACCCTTTCTTGTTCTTCAACCTACTTAACCACATATGACAATACTCGCTAACTTGTTTTTTTCTGGCAAACAATCGGTTATTTAAGAAATACTTGCTCATCTCCATCAATCACATTGTTTCATATGGGTTTTAGGAATGTGAGCTAAAAAATGTGGCTTTACATTTTTAACTAACTTCCTACTCCTACACTCTGAAATGTCTCAGAGGCTGCAATGTCAGCCTTATTAATAAATCCCATTTCAGTAAGCAGGAATGCTTCCACAAGATAAACAATGTAAATATTTCAAGTTTCTGGGGAACGCAGTGTCAAGTCGGCACTGGTGGATAAATGGAGAAACTATGTTGAAGAGAGAAAGGACAGAAAAAAATATAGGTTGGATTTTGAAGACAATATGAAAAAAAAAAGTAAAATATTAAGATGTTTAGTTGCTATATTATTTTGGACATTTTAAGTTAAATAAATTATTCAAATTGGTTATAACTGTTTTCCTTTGAACTTTTCAAGTATAACTCTTAAACCCGTTTAAACTAGATATATGGCTTATGTTTCCAGTGAACAGGGCTGTTCTAGACATTTCAGGAGCAAAGTCCTGAGAATTATAAAATTGGAGTTGAGCAAAGTTTGTCCTTACTAAGTGAGAGGTCATGGAAACATGATAGTAAGAAACATGACATAAGGCAAAAGATGGGAGTTCCCCTTTTGGAAAAGAAGTGGCCTTTGCTTAAGCTCAGCTCATGTGAACAATATGAAAGAAGCAGGATATGAGCTGAATTCAACAAACAATCCTTGAACACCTGCAAGGAAAGACACTGCCATGACAGGGAGACAAAAACAATGAGTGAAGCCTGGCCCCTGTCCTCAAGGAGTTCACCATTTGGTATATGTTTTACTGCAAAGCATATGCCTGAGTCATGGTAGGAAATCCATGTTTACTGAACAGATTGATAGAAATGTCTGAAAAACTATGGAAGGCATGTAAAACCACAAATCTACAGGTAAACAGTGAAATCCCTTAAGGTTCCCATAATTAGCAACAAATCTCATAACCATTAAATAAAAGCAAGGGCCTGAAAGTACAATTCAAAATATTTTGTTTCTGGTGGGGCCTCCCTGGTGGCCTAGGAGTTAGGTCTCAGCGCTATGTCTGCTATGGCCTGAGTTTGATCCCTGGCCAGGGAGCTGACCCACATGGCACAGCAGACTTTTCCTGTCTCATCCACTGCTCCCCTAGGCAGTGTGTTTCAGTAGACCTTCCTGTTCTGCTCCCCACTCTCTCAGGTGAATCTTCTCACCGCCCTTCACCCCTGGCATATACCCCAGTTCTTCTATTCATAAATACATATTTTTTATTTTTTTTAAAGATTTATTTATGCATACAAGAACTAGGGTGTAAGCCAGAGGTGCGGGACGGTGAGAGGATTCACCAGAGAGAGTGGGGAGCAGAACAGGCAGTGCTCCCAGTGCTGAGGGGAGCACTGGGAGAGACAAGAGAGGTCTGCTGTGCCATGTGGGTTGCTCCCTGGCTGGCAGGGGATTGAACTCGTGCTGCAGAGGCTAGTGATAGGTTGATGGCACTGTCTTAACCGCTGCGCCACTGGGGAGGCCCAAATATATACTTTAAGTGTTTATTAAAAAAAAATATTTTGGGCCTCCCGGGTGGCGCAGTGGTTGAGCGCTGGGTTGCGAAGCTGCCCGCAGCCTCTGCAGCGCCGGTTCGATCCCCGGCTGCTCCCCGGGCCACCGGAGAAGGGTCCCACATGGCGCGCAGACCTCTACTGCCGCCCGCTGCTCCCCTCAGCAGTGTACTTCGGCCCTTCTGCCTGCTCTGCTCCCCGCTCTGGCTCTGGTGAATTCTCTCATCTTCCAGCGCTTCTGACTGTACCCAGTGTTGTATAAATAAATAAATAAATCTTAAAAAAAAAAGTTCGAAGACTAGAGCGTAAGTCAAATGAAGTAGAAGGTAGTAACAAGGGGTGGAAGTAGGAAGCAGCGTCAGTGCTCAGTCAGCTTCACAAATAGGGGGTAGGAAGTGCAGGATGCTCCCGGTTTGTCCAGCGGCAGAGGAAGAAGGGGGACATGAAAGATGAACTTTGAGGGCCTGTTGTCTCAATCTATTCGAAAGGACGTTACCTGCTCCAGGGAAGACCAGTAAACACACATACAACCCCACACAGTCACAAAGTCTGGGGGACGCCTAAGAAGTCTCCAAAGTAGAAAAGCTTTTGTACAGGAAAGACCTTTTAACTTTCTCCTTACAGAGACATCAGGGGTATTTTTTATGCTCACATTAATTCTATACATTTGAAGAAAACACAGACCATCTGAGCTCTTCTTTGATCTCCACATTTTTCTAAAGACAGTATTTTCCAGCTTCCCCTTTTCTTCTAAAATTGTGCAAAGCCCTCCCACGCACATGCTTCTACCAGACAGGCATCTAATTATGTCTGATTCCCTCAGAAATTCAGGAAGAGCGACATCCCAGTTCTCCCAGCCTTCGAAAACTGCACCCAACCGAGTGGAATACTCAAGTTTTATACCTCTCGCCACCAAAGGCAATCTTTCCTTGTGAACTCTGGTGCTCCTGCAGAGTGGTAAAATTGTGGTCATAGGTCATTTATTCCGAATTCCTACCCAGCCAACTTCAATAAGCATAACTTGTCTACTGAAACATGTAAACAACCCCAGCACCAAAGCAGCCAAATGGAAAGCCGCCTTGACCACATGCTCGAAAAGGTGTCATGAAGCTGTGATTCTGCCTTTTGGCTTGGCAAAGGCAGTTGAGAGGATGCCCTGGCACTTAACTTAGGAATGTTTATGACATCTGGGTACTAGGTGACCGCCGCTGCTGTCTAAGCTAACGTTACTGGAATCTTGGACTCTAGGAGACGCATACAGGAAATCACATAGGCAAACTTTTCTCCTTATAAAGACAGACCATCTATCCAGGAATTACCATCCTCCCAGTTCTCAAAGGGAGGAGCCACTGGTTAAGCAAGCCGGATACAACTGGGGAGAGGAATTTTATAGCAGTTTCCTGTGGCCCCAAGGTCTAGTCACAGTGCCTCCTCTTTAAGA